ATCACTAAGTTATTTTTGTCTGTTTAAAATAAAAGTTAAGGACCCATATGAACATTGAAAACTGGTTTTGCTCACTTTAATGATTGATCTTGTTCATACAACCCTTGCAGAGGTCTGAGTTGAAGGAATTAAGCTGGTATCCTCCAAGGTTACGGACTTCTTACTATAAAATTTCTTTTTTTATGCGATTGTCCTTCAACCGCAGCAAGGAAAGGCAGAGAGACATTAATACTAAAGAACAGTAATCGTAGTAGATATCCACTCTACATGAACAACTCAGATTATTGAAGCATCATAGTATCTTAATATAAACGTTTTACACAGAACATGGACTGTGGATTTTGTTCTGGGTTTTTTTTTATGTTCAATCTTAACTCATCTGTCTTGTTCAACCTTCCGTTCTTAATCTCCCTTTACTTTTCCCTCAGGTTTCAAACCTACAGAAAACGTTAAAGGCCAGTGCCGCCTCTCCCTCATCAGGCCCCGCCCCTGCTGGAGCCGCCTCCAATCAGGACGCAGACCAGCCTGCTGAGCCAAGAGACCCTGCCTCCTCTCAGGAACCTCGGCAACCAGGCAAAAAGAGTTCAAAGGTGAAAGGGTGAGTCCTGTGATATCACCTGTTGTTAACCGTGGTCGTGTGGCTTCATGCATGGGAGGCAGCCAAATAGTATCTGCATGACTGGAGTCATCAGCCCAACTTCAGTGTGGCAGCTTTTTACATAAAACGTAGCACTGAGAGTTTGCTTAGAAATTGCAGTCATTTTTCTACAGCTTCACAAATTGAAAACAAAATATGTTTGGTATGTTTTGGCATTTTCTGAATTTATGTTTTATTCAGACTTGTTGCACTTTGGAATCTAGTTTGACTTTTTTTTTTTTTTTTCATGTTTGAAATGCTATTTACTCCTCTAAGATGTGAAAATGGAACAAAAAGCTTTATGTGGAGGTTCTTTCTGTTAAGTTTTTCATCACTGCTGCGTCTTTTGTTCTGTAAAGCACTTTGTAACTGTGGCTTTTGAAAGGTGCTTTATAAAAACAAATTTACCTAGTTATAACCACAGCGCTGTAAGGACTCAAACACTTCAAACACTAAATTAAAACCATTAGTCCAATGTTCTTGTAGAGTGTGAAGTTAATTCGACAGAGAATTGCTGTTTCCATTTTTCCATAAACATTAAAAAAAAAAACAGCTGCCGGTGTAAGTGGTTTGTCTGTGTGTGAGCATGTGTGTGTGTCTGCATGAAGCATCTTTATTATCAGATGCACATCAGTGTTTTGCAGCAGTACTCTAACCCTGCTATCAGGCACTCGCTTTCTGTTCTGCCTCCATCCGGTCCAATTACCGATGGCTAATTTCACATCTGTCCAGGATTGTAAAATGTCACTGGATATACAAATGCCCTGTGTGCTCTGTTCCTAAAAGAACCATTTCCCCCTCCAGCGATCAAACGAGATGCTTTGCTCGTCTGCTGTTTATGTTGTTGCTGCTGAACAGAAAGCAGTGATTATTTCCTGGCTGCCTGTCACATTCTGATGAAGCATGGAACCCTATAATTTTCCACCACTCAGCAGTGCACTTCATTCAAAGAAGATTCACTTAATGTTTTGAAATCCAAATTAATGATAGCTTAACCTCAATCCTGGAATTAAAATGAGTTTTGACACCATTATTTGTAAAGCTATTTAAAGGATGGGACTAATAGTGCAGCAGTTATAAGAAATTGGATCTTTGAAAAAAAATAATTTTATATAAAGAAATAGGAAATCCACTGAGAACAGTTTTTATGCAGAAATACTGAAAACTCATTAGATGTCGTAGCACAAAGACACCAGAGTGCATCAGTAATGTGCTGCTTCAGTAGAGGAAGTGGAAAGTAAACATGTAAACCATTAAATCTTTCTCTGATAAATCTCCAAAAACGCAGAAATTCAGTGTTTTCCCTTTTTTTTTTTTTTGTTTTTTTTTTTTTTGGTTGTTTCACTCAGGCTGCGCGGCAGTGGGAAGATCTGGTCCAAGTCCAACTGAGGACAGGAGGAAGACGGTGGCACTGATGGACACTGTCACTGATGAATGGACATGTGGACGTGTTGACGGACAAATGGAAACATTAAACAATGTGACCAATGCTCACGGACACCCCCGTCACATACACTTAAACACCAGGAAGCTTCATGGGAACTTTTCTTATCACCTAATTTCACGGATTCGGAAAAACACAATTGACTGATGGATACGATGGGTGTGACATCTTCGCTTGCAGTTGTTAATTACCTAACAGGTGGACTATCACTATATACACACACTTAGAACACATTAAGAGAGCGCAGTCTGCAGAGGCAGTCTTTGACCAGAAACAGGATCAGTGTATTTGAAGCGTGTGTGTGTGTGTGTTTATCTCTATCAGTTTAAAAATGTTGTTTTGGTTCAGATTCATTCTGTGTTGCTTTGTGTTTTCTTCTCTCTGCTGAGTTAAGACATGTTTGAAATCAGAATATAAATAGTTGGGAAATAAAACAACGCCCTGTACTTATCCCGACTGTCTCGTTAATGTCACTGTCACATCTTTTATTAAATGCACTTCAGTGAGCATCTCTGGAGGGTGCATTGCTAAATGTTAACTCGCGGAAAGGGGCTACCCGTTAGGAGGTCAAGCCATTAATTAGGGCATGTCCCCAAAGAGACTAATGTATTATAGAGCTGAGGCTTCCCCTGTGCGCAAACCAGCATGGCTACACACACACACACACACACACACACACACACACACACACACACACTGTGCATTCATATTTCATACAAGTATGTTTTGCCCAGAGCTTCGATTTCAATGTTGAAATTGCCTGCCCCCTCCCTCATATATCTCCATCACTCAGTCAGAATTGCCGTCATCGTGCCGCCCCTGTCCATCTCTCACTTCTTGGATCCCGTTTTCTCTCAATTCTCTGCTCTTGACATTAATGGCGTCAATTAAATGACCAGCAGCCACAGTGAGCGGGACAGAGATGGAGGAATTATGATCCTGTTTCATTTAACCCTCCGTCTTTCCCCCGTCTCCCCAGTCCCTCCCAACTTCCCTCCCCACCTCTATAAATAGGGGTGTTAATTTCAGTCAGTGTGATTGAGCTACATTAGTTCACAGTTTTTTTTTTCCTTTGGCAGACTGGAGCTGTGAGTTCTAACAGCTGTACACCTTTCAAAGTGTGTGTGTGTCTGTCTGTGTCTGTGTCTG